CGGCGGGTGGGGGGCCGGCCTTAAGCCCTGTAAGGGGCCCCAAAATTTCTGATGGCTGCCCTGTATGTAGTTATATATTGAGTTTTCTTTTGATTGAACTCTATGGACTTGCCATGTATTTAATTTTTTAGTATTTAGTTTTAACTTCTTCCAACCCCAAAGCAGATCTATCTTGCCCCAGTAATGTGATATTGGTGGTTTACTGGCATGCTATCAATGTTATCCTTCAATATAGAGAACAGTGTCCATCATAGAGAGTGCTAAGCTTTCCCCTAGGTGCAGTGCACTGCTTGACCTGAATAACGCGCTCTCGTTGCTTGCTCTATAATACATTTTACTATTAAAGTCTGTGTGTGATAATGCGGAAATTCTGACGTCTCACCTTCCCCACCACCAGGATGAAAAAGAACAGCTCACGGAGTACAAGGGACAGGTCGCCGGCCTGGCCAAGAGGGCAAAGACCATCATTCAGCTGAAACCTCGCAGCCCATCCAACCCAGCCAAAGGCAAACAACCGGTTCAGGCCGTCTGTGACTACAAACAGATGGAGGTGAGTGCGGGAATAAGAGGCGAGCACTGCTCAGTGTCTGATTATCTGTGGGCAGGAACACGTGACACTCTTCTTTGTCCACGTGGACGGCGGCTCCGCTCAGGAGGTCGTGGAATTCTCATCTTTTTAAGTCATGTGATCTCTTGTGAACTGATAACAAAGTCAGCTACATAGCTGCAATTATTCATGAATGTCAGTCCTAATAGGGAGGACAAAGAGCTTTCACATTGACCGTGACTAGTTCTGGAGAGGAACGAGCTCCATGTCATGTCACTCTGCAATGCGAGATGATTGTTGGGTGACACAGATTCCAGTACTGGTCAGGGGTTCACATGCAACATCAAAGGAAAACCCAGTTCACCTTTCATGTACACCTGTAATTCCAACAGATAAGCTGGCTCGGTGGTTAGCACTTCTGCCTTGCAGCACCCGGGGTCCTCGGCTCAAATCCCGGGCCAGGAAACTATCTGCATGGAGGTTGCATGTTCTCCCTGTGCTTTCCTCCGGGTACTCCAGTTTCCTTTCACACTTAAAGGAGAACTATCAGGCGAGTGCTTTTCACTCACCTCATAGTTCTAGCCGACCTGTGACAATGAGACTGTCACAGGTCGGCTCAGTAGATCGGGAGGTGAGCGAACACATACCGGCGTTCGCTCACCTCTCGATCCTGTCACGGCTCTCTGCTGTGACAGGGGAGGGGCTGGACTCCCCCTTCACCACCAGCGCTGACTGGCGGAACGGACGGGGGAGGGGGCGGGTACAGCTGGCTCTGCCTCTAGATAGGCAGAGCCAGCTGTCAGTCACGCAGCTGGGCGGATCCAGACATAATTGTCGGGATCCGCTTCAGCTGCGGCGTCTCAGTATACCGTGAGCTACAGCACGCGGCATACTGAGCCTAGGGTGACGGGAGGACGCTAGTTTGTGTCCTCCCGTTGCCCTAAGGAGAACTATGGGGAAAAGCCCTAACCCCATATTCTCCTTTAAAAGACCATGCTGGTAGGTTAAATGGCTCCTGTCTGAATTGGCCCTAGCATGTGCGTGTGCGTGTACATGTGAGATGGGGGAACTTCGATCATAAGCTCCTTATGGGCACAAATTAGATGCAGCTCTTTATTCAATAATACATCATTTGTTTAAGTACCTGAATTTGACTTGGTATCAGCCCCCTGTAGAGAAAACGTAGACTGTGGCAGATGCAAACCATGCAAGAAGCTAATCAGTTGTGCTGCAGTGCAAGAACCATACTGATAGGAGGAGGGAGCAGAGTGGCAGAGAGATGATCTCATCCGTCTGCTGGTTCTCCTTTCCTTGTCCAGTCACAGGCTGGGGGAGGGACAAGACCCTGTAAGTGGTGCTTAACCACAGTAGAGAACAATCGGGTCTCTTGCAATGCCAGGCACAGGGCTGTGCTTTGTGGCAGAGCTGTGTACATTTCAGGAAAGTATAGACAGGAATACAAATCCTTTGACAGGTAAAACTGCTCTGTGATACTGTAATAAAAACTAACATTTGAGCTTTCAGGCTGTTGACAAGTTGAGCTTGCCCTCACGTGAATTTCAGTTGTAACAGCAAGCACCCAAAGTTCCCATAAAGTGAGAAAAGATGCTTCATTTTGGGGAAAACCACTTTTCATACTTGAAGTGTTTTGGATGCTGTCGATTTTTCCCGTGACGGCGGATGATGAGCTGCAGATAACACGGCTGTTGATCACTTGCTGACCAAGTTGTTTGTGCCCTTGTGATCCGAGTGATTAATCCGTGAAGGTTCTCATTTATCCAGATCACGTTAGAAGTCACATTCAGCTGGACTTGTTCTTTAATGTTGGAGATGTTCCATCGTCTAAGTAGCTTCCTCGGTGCTATCAAGTGACTCCTAGAACTGAGGAAGCTACTTGGGTGAGTCGCAACTTCCAACCCAACTTTACAGAACATGTCCAGCTGAATGTGACAATTGTCTAGTAGTTATTTTAGAGAAACCCAGAGAACATCCTTTTCTTATTTTGTAGTAACAGTGTGACCCTCATTGGCTGTAGTCTATAGCGGTATTTGTCTTGTCCCACAGATCACTGTACATAAGGGAGATGAATGTCTGTTGGTCAATAACTCCCAGCTCAGCAAGTGGAAGGTCCTGAATTCTGCTGGAAATGACGCCACGGTTCCATCTGTCTGTTTCATCGTTCCACCACCCAACAAGGAGGCCTTGGATGCTGTTAGTAGGTAAGATAGAAGTCCTGCAATGTTCTGTCATGACACTGGCTCATTGGCTACCTCAAGAACGGTCAGTGTTGTGCCAATGATTCTGCAGTTTGTCCTCGATAGCAAGCGTGGTGTCCTTGTCATGTCCTCAGTCATGTTGTCCATGATAGTGAATGTATTGTCCTCCTTGTCATGTCCTCAGACATGTTGTCCGTCTGTCTGTCTGTCTGTTTTATTGTTCCATCATCCAGCAAGGAGGCCCTGGATGCTTCCAGTAGGGGAGATATGTCACATGATGTTCTGTCATGATGCTGGGTCAATGGCTGCCTCAACAATTGTCTGTGTTGTTACATTGATTCTGCAGTTTGTTCATTACGGTAAGCAAAGTGACCTTCCTGTCATGTCCTCGGTCATGATTTCCATGACAGTTAGCGTAGTGTCCTCCTTGTCATGTCCTTAGTTATGTTGTCCATGGCGGTGAGTGTAGTGTCCTCCTTGTCATGTCCTCCATGACGGTGAGTGTAGTGTCCTCCTTGTCATGTCCTCCATGACGGTGAGTGTCGTGTCCTCCTTGTCATGTTGTCCATGACGGTGAGTGTCGTGTCCTCCTTGTCATGTTGTCCATGACGGTGAGTGTCGTGTCCTCCTTGTCATGTTGTCCATGACGGTGAGTGTCGTGTCCTCCTTGTCATGTTGTCCATGACGGTGAGTGTCGTGTCCTCCTTGTCATGTTGTCCATGACGGTGAGTGTCGTGTCCTCCTTGTCATGTTGTCCATGACGGTGAGTGTAGTGTCCTCCTTGTCATGTCCTCCATGACGGTGAGTGTAGTGTCCTCCTTGTCATGTCCTCCATGACGGTGAGTGTCGTGTCCTCCTTGTCATGTTGTCCATGACGGTGAGTGTCGTGTCCTCCTTGTCATGTTGTCCATGACGGTGAGTGTAGTGTCCTCCTTGTCATGTTGTCCATGACGGTGAGTGTCGTGTCGTGTCCTCCTTGTCATGTTGTCCATGACGGTGAGTGTAGTGTCCTCCTTGTCATGTCCTCCATGGCGGTGAGTGTAGTGTCCTCCTTGTCATGTCGTCCATGACGGTGAGTGTCGTGTCCTCCTTGTCATGTTGTGCATGGCGGTGAGTGTCGTGTCCTCGTCATGTTGTCCATGACGGTGAGTGTCGTGTCCTCCTTGTCATGTTGTGCATGGCGGTGAGTGTCGTGTCCTCCTTGTCATGTTGTGCATGGCGGTGAGTGTCGTGTCCTCCTTGTCATGTTGTGCATGGCGGTGAGTGTCGTGTCCTCCTTGTCATGTTGTGCATGGCGGTGAGTGTCGTGTCCTCCTTGTCATGTTGTGCATGGCGGTGAGTGTCGTGTCCTCCTTGTCATGTTGTGCATGGCGGTGAGTGTCGTGTCCTCCTTGTCATGTTGTGCATGGCGGTGAGTGTCGTGTCCTCCTTGTCATGTTGTGCATGGCGGTGAGTGTCGTGTCCTCCTTGTCATGTTGTGCATGGCGGTGAGTGTCGTGTCCTCCTTGTCATGTTGTGCATGGCGGTGAGTGTCGTGTCCTCCTTGTCATGTTGTGCATGGCGGTGAGTGTCGTGTCCTCCTTGTCATGTTGTGCATGGCGGTGAGTGTCGTGTCCTCCTTGTCATGTTGTGCATGGCGGTGAGTGTCGTGTCCTCCTTGTCATGTTGTGCATGGCGGTGAGTGTCGTGTCCTCCTTGTCATGTTGTGCATGGCGGTGAGTGTCGTGTCCTCCTTGTCATGTTGTGCATGGCGGTGAGTGTCGTGTCCTCCTTGTCATGTTGTGCATGGCGGTGAGTGTCGTGTCCTCCTTGTCATGTTGTGCATGGCGGTGAGTGTCGTGTCCTCCTTGTCATGTTGTGCATGACGGTGAGTGTCGTGTCCTCCTTGTCATGTTGTGCATGGCGGTGAGTGTCGTGTCCTCCTTGTCATGTTGTGCATGGCGGTGAGTGTCGTGTCCTCCTTGTCATGTTGTGCATGGCGGTGAGTGTCGTGTCCTCCTTGTCATGTCTTCATTCATGTTGTTTGTCGTTTTCCAGGCTGGAGGAAAGTCACCAGGCCCTGATCACTCTGTGGCACACTCTGCATATTGAGCTGAAGTCTCTGCTCTCCTACCAGTATCTCCTCAGGGACTTCCAGCTTATCCAGTCCTGGACCCTTGTCACGGTAAGTCTGAACTCTGCTTTCTCTCTGTTTTCCCTCTCTGACTAATAAACTTAGAATCTGTTTGGTAACAATGTCATTTATTTATTGGTGCCTTTTAGAAATTGTCTGTATTGGCTCATTACTACTAAAATGGATGAAACTATTTTACTGTTCGGGTGCTATGTCGGTTATACAAACAGTCCTTATTGAAGATACTTTGATAAATGAGGCACAGTGTGTTTTGGTGTCAGGAGAAGACTAGTTAGTTTTGTTGATGGGAAGTTTTTTTTGAAGCTGAACTCCGGGCAGATATAAGAGACACAAATTTAGGTAGCTCATTATTCAATAATATATCATTTTGTTTATGCAAGCAGTGTAAGTACCAGAATTTGACTCGTTATCATCCTCTTGCAGTCCCCTGTACAGCAGATCTGTACAAACACACTTGTGTCCATGTGGTATGCCAATATCCTACAGGTTACTGTCTCAGGAAGGTTTTTCAGTGTCTATGGCTCTCCTATACTTTGTTAAACAGTTGAGACATTTCGGGTCCCCATGACTATCTCAGATTTAGATCTGATGATTCTCTCATCTGTTCCGCAGTTCCGCAGCATGATATCAGAGGAGTATTCCCTGGCTCTCCGCAACTTGGAAATTCATTACCAGGACTTCCTGAAGGACAGCCAGGACTCCCAGAACTTCCAGCCAGACGACCGCATGAACATCGAGAGAGAGTACAGCTCCTGCACCCAGAAGTACGACATGCTCCTGCGCAATCTAGAGAAAGGTAAGGGAACGCTCCGCTCCTTTATTACTGTAGAATCAAGAGGTTTAATGTAACATGTGTGACACGAGTGTCCGTGCTCCATACAGGTGAACAGGACGAGAGTGCATGTAAGCACTACATATCCCAGCTGAAGAACATTCAACTACAGCTGGATGGCTGCGAGTCGCGTACAGTCAGCAAGATCCGCAGTCCCTTGGACAAAGATCCCGTCAAAGAATGCTCTCAGCGGATTGGAGACCAGCAGGTAAGTCCTCTGTGTGTTCTTTAGACCATTTTACAACTTGGTACGGTTTGTGCTGCATCTTTGGAGTTAAAACATGCGCCTAATTGAAAAGTGAAGACTCAAATTCCCCTTTTTTAAATGTAAAAATAAAGTCTGGGCTCCTGTAAGTCCCCAACGGTAGTCTTCAACCAAGGAGGTGCAAGGGGCCTCAAATGTGGCCCTTGATGTCACAAAGGGGCCAAACATAACCAAAGGGGCCAAACATAGTATACAAAATATTGCAGGAGATGGTCATGTACTGCTAGAAGTCTTGGAGAGCGGATACATGCTGCAGGAGACAGAACATGTTACTTGAGACCGCTAGAGATCATTTACTGCCATTTATTAAATCTGCACCCTCACTAATGACGTTTGGTGTCCATGGGCCACATGGGAGGCACCAAAGGGCTGCATGTGAAGTACCACAAGACCACATGCAGCCCTCAAGCCATGGGTTGGGCACCAGTGGTCCACATCATCTGTGACCTAAATCCTACAATTCTTCCTACAATTCCCTTGTTTTATACAGTACATCTGCATGAGGAGTACCAAAGACCACATGCGGCCCTTGTGCCACAGGCTGGGCACCAGGGGTCCACATCATCTATGACCTAAATCCTACAATTCCCCTATTTTATTACATACAGTACATCTTCATAATCACATGTGCTGATTGCTGATGTAAGACATTAAAGGAGAACTATGGGGTCAGTGTTTTTTTTCCATAGTTCTCCTTAGGGTAACGGGAGGACACAAACTAGCCTCCTCCCATTACCCAAAGCTCAGTCGCAGACGCCGCAGCGGATCCCGACATGGACGTCGGGATCCGCCCAGCTGCGTGAGTGACAGCTGGCTCTGCCTATGTAGAGGGAGAGGCAGCTGTACC